CCCCCCCGCGCGCTAACGAACAGTGTCCAAGACCTGGACTGTTGCGTGATTGTACCACCCATCCCTCTCCCCACCAAAAACCAAAAGAAAAGCATTCAAAAAACAAAAAAAGACCCCAACAGAGCTTATTCATATCACACCCTGCAATAACCAAATTACTGCCACACAGCGCTGGTGATAAGCGGGGCGGGAGGGGTGTCCTCTCTTGCTGAATTTGTCCTAAACCCGACAGCCACAAAACATCCTTCAGACCTGGCAGGAGAGGAACATCTTTCCTCTTGCAAACCCAGCCCACGCCAACGCTCACCCCATTCATTGCACTGAGCAACGCCCTTTGTGCAGCAAATGCCAGCGCCTGAGCAAGCGTTTGCACCGCAGCCCTTCGACCAAACCGCATCCCCCCCCCCCGCAATAACATGACACCTCGATTTCAGTTCAGTTTTATCTTGTTCACATTATTCCCTTTGAGCTTCTTTAAAGAAGTGCACCTCCAGAATCCTGAAACAACCAGCTTTGACTTGAAATATATACACATATATATATATTATATATAGAAAAGTATCATAATTGCGGATGTTTTTCTCTGTACCTGATATATTGTGTAGGGAGATCTAGTCCTCTTTGAAGAAGCTCATAAGCCAAGCGGGCAAAGCTTTAGGAAACAGAAGAAAATAAAATAGTGCATACTCCTGAGAAAGAATTACATACTCATATAACTCATTTTTTGTTGCTAACAGTTGTTGGAGGGGTGGGGGGAGGGCAGATCTCTCCCACACGCAGTGTTAGAACAAATTAAAGGTAGGGACATTGGCTTTACTGGGAATAGAAACCTTTGTAGACACTATTAGGAAAATTTGAGCAGAAAATTAGGGTCCTTAGACAGCAATAACACCTAATTTTCCAATCTGGCACCCCACATTGGACATGCGGCTCCCTTACAGCCAATGCAGTTGTACCACCGAAGCTAAGAGCCAAATGGTGCGTGCATGGCCCTATGCATAGAGACATAGGAAGCATTTTGATATTTTTATATATGATATATGCACATATGCCTAGATGTACACACCCGCACTTATGCAGAAGCCTGTAAAAAACTGGTCATCTCAGAAGAGGGTCTGTCTAGACCAGGGATTTTGCAACGTTGTCGGTAACTCGATTGAACTAACACGATTAGAAACACCCACGGCAACGTAATTAATGCAGGCCCTGCCGTTAATGTAGACACGGGTAAATACCTTTACAATCCCATTAGCTGGCCTCTGCTTCTCACCCCATCTCCTTCCCCAGTCTAGACAGATCCAGAGCGCCCAGATAAAAAGGGGGAAGAGCTGGGAATCAAGGGATTATGGGGGGACACTCCCAGATAACATCACTGGAAGGTTTTGTTCTGGGTTATTTTTTTTGTCCTATTGCAGACACAAGCCGTTGTTTGATTGATTTAAAAAAAAAAAAAAAGACCGTGCATCTCATTCAAAGCAAAAAAAAAAAAAAATCAAAGCACTGACACCAAAAATTTTTTTTAAAAAATTCAAAAGGTTTCTCGGATATCTTCCAATCAGTTATTCATCTCTTGCTTTTATTATCATGACAGACCCCACCCCCCACCCCACCAATGGTTAAAAAGAACCGAGAGAAAACAGAAGTGGAAAAATCCTGGCGGTTGTCTTCAAATGTTCCTTGCAAGAGACATTGAGCCATTGTTCTTGCTCCATTGTGCGCCTCTGATCTTAAATGATCGTCTCTACTATTATTAGCATTATTATTGTCCTACCTAATATATTTTCTTCCAAATCCCAATCCAATCTTTTAAAGCTTAAAATTAAAACGGGTTTGTTTGTTTGAAAAGATTCTCTCTCTTTTGTTTTCTTTTTTATGCATTTAATTTTCTCTTTCTTTTTTTTTTCCTCTTTATTTTACTTTTATTTTTATTTTTATTTTTTTCCTCATTTTCTGTGTTTCTCTTCCTTGTCTCCAGTTTTACTACCTGGTCCTTCCCCAGATGTGTGCCTGTTAGCAGTGTTGTTGTTCAAGAACATCTTGTCCATGCCTTTGAGAGCTTCAGTCAGGTAGTTTTGGAGGGCTGTGAGGGCAGCGCAGATGGCTGGAGCCCCAAAGCCATGGGTGATGAGGCTGAAGTGAGTCAAGCAGCTCTGAATGCCTGGTTCCAAAATAGGGGTGGGCCTGCTGTTACCAATGGGCGTCCTGTCCTGGGCCAAGAGATCTGTAAATTCTTTACAAAGTTGCCTGCAAGGAGGAGAGAAGAAGGAGAGAGAAAGCCCAGCCTGGTCACAATCACTTCTCAAAGCTCTTGCAGTCCCTATAGAGTGGGCATTGCTTGGTTGACACTCTGCTCCTAGTCCCCTTGATTGGACTGGCTCAGACAGGAGCCCTCCAGGAATGCCATTTTACAGAGCAATAAACTGAGGTGCCAGGCAAGCCTGTTGGGGCTGATGGACTAGGTGACCCGAGGCAGGCTTTCCATGCCCCAGGGCAGGGTGTCATTTGAATCAGAAACACAAGCCCGGGGTCTGTGTGCGCGATGTCGGGGGGTGTGACCAGCAGGGAGAAGTGCACCTCATTCCCTCAATGCCAGTCTCTCCTAGAGAGAAAACTCTCTCTGGACCAGAAAGATGCTTCTGAAAATGCACTTAGCAGCAGGGCTTTAAAAAAACAAATAATTTTAAAAGCTACCTGTTACCTACATGGCACTGGAGATGGCTAGAGATGCAGACAGACATTGGATCCTGGCCCATTGACCTCAGGGTTTACTTTCCCCCTGCCTGTTCTGTGAGGGCACTTGGACGGGCATTACCCCTTTCTCCCAGTGACTCTTTTGCTGACTGTGACAGGAGTTCAAGGCTGCTGAGCTCCTCCTGAAAAGCTGTGAGCAGCAAGGGGTGGGGGGCCACACATCGTGCTGCAAACCGAGGAGGGCTGGTGCTGGACGATTTGACCTGCCTCGCTTTCCAGGGAGCACTGCACACCCTCTCGCCCCTTTCTGGTGCCCAAGGGGTGAAGCCCACCCCCTCTGCCATCTCCTCCCCAGGCTCCACTCCTGGCAGGCATTTCTCCAGGCAGGCCAGAGATTGCCTGTGTCCTTCGCCTTTCCCCATCCAAGGAGAGATGCAAGAAAACAAGGAGCAGCTGCCATCCACTGGCTCCCCACATCCCTCACGGAGCCTGCTACTCTCATCCTACCACCTGTTTCATTAAAAGCCAATGGCTACCTGTGCCAGTCAACAGGGCATCTCATCATGCCCCGCAGGCAAAGAGGAAGAGCTACTCAGCAGGGCTGTGGCAGGGGGTGCCACCATGAACCCTGGGCGTGGGAGGAGGCGAGCCAAGGAGTCACCCCCTTTCTAGCAGGAGGCACCTCACTGCCAGCTATTTAGATCCTATTTTTAAGCCTGTCTTTTGGCCACCCCGGGGAAGAATTGGACCCACGCCGTTGCGGGTTTGCCTCGCCTAACGCGGCCGCTCATCGGCGGTGCTTGATCCGAGGACAAGGCGGGGGCTGGGTGTCCTCTGGTCCTGTGCACCTGCTCCGCCCGAGCCCGGCGAGGCGAGGGCAGAGCCCGTCTCACCCACGAAGGCCGTGCCAGGGCGGCAGCTCCGCGCGGGGGAGCAAACAGGGGCGGGCCAGCCGCCGCCGGGCTTCAAAGAGCGGAGCGGGGTCTGGGAGCAATTACAGAGCTGGGACAGGCACCCCCCCGTGACCCCGAGGAAGGGGCAATGCAATCCCAGGCAGGGCTGAGAAAACATCTGGACAAATCTGAGCAAATGGTTTTCCAGCCCTCCGCCTCTGGGCT